GAGGAAAGTCAAAGGAAATAGAGGAAAGAGCTAGGAGGCAAAGAGCATTTATAGAGGTCTAAACAAAGGCATAAACATATGTAAATATATTTATATATGAGGATGGGGAAATAGAGCTATGTGCATATATTTATAGGTTTAGTATTAAGGTAGCAGAAGGACATTCAGCCTCCACTCAAGTACTCCCTCAATGCAAGAATATTTTCTTCTATTAAATTGGCATTCTCTGATGCTCACCTTCCTGACAGAACCACTGAAGAAAAAGCAGGTGAATAAGCAAATGTGGTGACGAAAGCATCTGGGGTCTTAAAGGCTTGAAGATAAACAAGCGGCCATCTAGCTCAGAAGCAACAAAGCCCACATGGAAGAAGCACAGTAGCCTGAGTGATCACGAGGTGCCGAAGGGATCGGTTATCAGGCATCAAAGAACAAAAAATCATATCATTGTGTGCTCACATCCCTGATACGATTGCTGAAAACAAATGAGTGCATAAGCAAGTGCGGTGAAGAAAGCTAATGGTGCCCGGCTATCAAAAAATATAGCATCTGGGATCTTAAAGGCTTGAAGATAAATAAGCAGCCATCTAGCTCAGAAGCAACAAAGCCCACATGAAAGAAGCACACTAGCCTGTGCGGTCATGAGGTGTTGAAGGGATCTGGTATCAGGCCATCATCAGAACAAAAAATCATATCATTGTGCATGGCTCGGGGAGGGGGTGCAGGGGGAGTGAGGAGTGGAGACCCAAAGCCCATTTGTAGGCCACTGGACATCCCATTACAGAAGGTTCTCTGGGAGGAGAGGAGTCAATCAGGTGTGATGTAGCAACAATGAAACATACAATTTTCCTCTAGTTCCTAAATGCTACCTCCCGCTCCCCACTATCACGATCCCAATTCTACCTTACAAATTTGGCTAGACCAGAGGATGTACACTGGTACAGATAGGATCTGGAAACACATATCGGAAATGGAGACACAGGGAATCCAGGGCGGATGATCCCTTCAGGACCAGTGGTGTGAGTGGCAATACTGGGAGGGTGGAGGGAGGGTGGGTTGGAAAGGGGGAACTGATTACAAGGATCTACATATAACCTCCTCCCTGGGGGACGGACAACAGAAAAGTGGGTGAAGGAAGACATC